TAGCCCCAGCTAGGTGCTACTTTATAGGATGCATAAAGTTAGACTTGTGTTCATGGAAATGTGTGTGTCACCTGTGTTTGCTATGAGGGTATTTGGATTGATTAGGGTCTTTGGTGATTCAATAAAATGTGCGGGGGAAACAGTATAGAAAGCAAACATAGATACCAGAGACCGTGTGGGAGGAGAATGGGAGATGGAAGAGGGTAAGAGATAGGGAATCAAGGATGGGGGGGGGAAGCAAAACATACAGAAAACAAGAAATGGAAGATTATTTGCTGACAATAGCATGTTTGTTGATGTGCTTGATTGAGACAATATACAGTGTACTCTGGATGAAAAATCTCATTTTGTATGCTGTAATGATGTACAGTGAATGAATGCAAATAAATAAATTGAAATTAAAAAAAGTAATATTGGCTTCTTTATAAGAAGTTTGTGGGTGTTTTTTTTTTTTTCTTAGAATCATGGTTTAAAGTCACAGAAATTGCTTTAAAGTTAGGTATCCTCAACATATTTATTCCAAACACTTAATACATTTTGCCTTTTCCAAATTTGGGTGACTTAGCTTTGGAGATTTTCACAGCCAGAGATACTTGCCCAGCACATAGTTCCTAAATAAATTACTGCTGAAGAGGCAGTTTGTAGTTTCTGATGGATCAGTGTCACAACTCACAATCCTTAGTACACTGGAAGTTACCCTTTAATGTATTAATAACTTGGGACAAAGAATTCCTGTTGAACCAGCTGTTGCTTTGAAATAGTATTTTGCAATATGACAGTATTCTGTGTGCAATTTCTTCGTTTTTTTTTTTTAATTGCCAGATGATGAGTGTATTCAGAGAGAATACATAGAGAGGTGGAGTGAAAAGCACCTTCCAATAGAATGCTGTCACTCTCTCTCCATGCTGGCAGGATTTTGGACAAGCACACAGATGTGCCTGGTATGTTTTCCAAGAGATTATGATGGGAATTAAACCACATAGTTGGCCTCATAGGATTCAACTCTCTTAATCACCAGGCCACGGGGCAGGCCTGGGTGTAATTTCTTTATGATCACAAATACATCTCTGGACTTCTGGCCTCGCCTAACTCGGCACCAACGCATAGCTGTTAATTAATGTACTGGGAGTGCCCTTCCTACTCAGTGGTGCTCTGGACTAGAATCTGAATCCCCTGGTTTCTAGTAAGAACTACACATTGCTTAGTTTGCTGTTCTTGTCTTTATCTCTGTTGACCTTGGGATTGTGACTTTTAAATAGCCTTTTCCACCTTGCCGCTGCTGGCCTGTCTCATCAACTTCTGTTACCTGATGTGGAGTAGAAATTCCTTCTCTGAGCCTGTTCCACCATTCAATTTAGGAGTATGTAGTTTGTTTTCATTTCATAGGGTCCCTCCCAGCTGGGAGGAGTTCACCTTGAGTCTAAAGTGAGACTTTGAACTTTCCAGTTGGAAAGAATGAATAGAGACTTTTGGAGCTCCTGGGATCGCTTTCTATGTTAGAAGTACATGAATTTTAGGGACCAAGGAAAGAATGCTATTGTTTGGGTGTTCCCCTAAAACTTGGTTGCATTGTGAAAATATTAAAAGGAAACTGAATACCTTCTCTGGTTGAAAGGTGGGGCCTTTGGAAGTGATTAGGGTGGGGCCCCCACAGTTGTTTCCTGGTAGGTTTATAAGGAAAGAGAATGAAACCAAAACAGAGATACAGATTAACACATCCACCTTGCTCCACTATACTCACAATCTCCTGAGGTGATGCCCTGGGACTCTACAGACTCCCACAGATGTAGCCGCTGGACCTTGGACCTCCAAACCATGAGCTGAACAAACCTCTAGTCTTAGATTACCCAGACTCAGATATTTTCTTAGATTAGCAGTGATCTTCTTGGATATATAGAGTCATGCTTTTCATGGTATTTCAGAAGTTTCCACCCATTGTTTCTACAAATATTCTTACTGTCCCTTTTTCTCTCTGTCTTGAAACTGCTCCAGTGCATGCACTGGTCCACCTGATGGTGGTACCTACAGGTCTTTTAGACTCCGTTCAATTTTTTTTTTCTTTCCATTCCACAGACTCAATATTTCCTTTCCTTTCCTTTCCTTTCCTTTCCTTTCCTTTCCTTTCCTTTCCTTTCCTTTCCTTTCCTTTCCTTTCCTTTCCTTTCCTCTTTCCTTTCCTTTTTGCCAGTGGACATGTACACTCACCAGAAAGAATAAAGAGAGAGAGAGAAAGAAAAATTATTCCTAATGCAATGTGGTTACACTGCAATCCTTTTTGTTCTATTTCTCCATCTCATCAGGATGTGGAAAACAGATACACACTCTAATGTGTCCCTCAAGCCCCCAGGCCAGGACTCAAACCATGTCAACCATGCAGAATCCAGGACCAGTGCACAGTGCTCAGTCACGGGACCAGTCCAAAACACAGTAATTTCTGCAGTCATCAAGTTCACTGACTCTTCCTTGTAGATGCTCATGTCTGCTGTTAAACCCATTTAGTAAACTTTTCATTTTAGTTGTTTTACTTTTACCTCCAGAATTTATGTTTGGCTTCTTTCAAAATTTACCTTCTTTTTCCTCCTAGATTTTTGCCATAGGGAGATTTTTGCCACTAGAGAGAAACAGAGAAAGGGAAAATGAGAAATCACTCCCCAAAGGGATGGTCATGCTGCAATCCTTTTTCCTTCATTCTCCTCTTGGGATTTTGGACAGGCACACATGCTCACATGCCCAGTGTGTTTTTTAAGCCCCTGGGTCTGGGACTTGAACTGCAGAGTTGGCTATAACTTAATCACCATAACTGCTGACCCACTTTAATTGATATTCTCATTTATTCATGCATAATTTTCCCAGTTTCCTTTAGTTTTTAAATCAATCTAAAACAATTGATTTAAAGTTTTTATCTTATAAATCTAATGTCTGAGTTTCCTCAGGGGTGGTGCCTGTTACTATTTTTTTGTTTTTCATTTTCAATGGGCCACACTCTCCTTTTTTTTTTTTAAATGTGTTGTAATGTGTAGTAACATAGGTATTTGAATATGAATTATAATTTGATAATTCCAAAAATCATACTTCTCCCTTCTCCGTGGTTAGTTTCTGTTGCTTATTGAAGGCTACAGTCATTTGTTTAGTGACTTTTTCAAACTTTTTTTGTAGACTGTATTCTTTGTCATGTGTATTCACTATATCATTATTTCAGCGATCAGCCAGTGACTTGACAGATTCTCCTTCGAATTCCTGAATTCAGAGAGAGAGAGACAGAGAGATAAGTAGATTACTCTCAGTCTCTACAGTTTGGCTCTGAGCCGACACTCCTACAAGCCCAAGCCAGGCTGCCTATGGCTCTGACTTGGCCTTTATCTCCTGCTCGCACAGAACCCACAGATCCAACAGGGCTGGAAGCCTTGGATCCTGTTCAGGGCCTTTCTGAGTACCCATCTAGACCTGGACATGCACACTGCACTCCCTCTTTCCTAGTATACACGATCCTCGGAACTCTTATTCCCTAGAGACTGCCTTTTTCTTCCTGACTTTAGGTCTGCCTCTTTCCTTACTCACTATCTCTTGCCCCATGTTTGCATGGGCAATGTATGTCTTAGAACTCTTCCCACAGATATTGTCACCAGAAAACCACTCCAACCCAAATGGATGGGATAAAACAAAAGTCAGCCTCTACACCAGCACCTCCAGGAAACGCAGCAAAAACTCATGACCACAGTATTTTAAGCACTAGCTCTGTACTAGTTGCCGTGAATATGAGCTGCTGTCCCTCCAGCCGTGTTTACTATGCTGGGGCAAGGTGGGTAAATAAAAATGACAAAAACCAGCCACCATTTTCTTCAGTCATCTATATAGTTGTTGTAGGTTTTAGATTAGATTTGAGTTCCAAAACAGTTGATTCTGTCATTGTGCACCAACTTGTATTCATGGTGGACTGATTCTTTGAGTAACGTCCTCCATCATTTTCCATGATGTTATCCAAGAACCTGATATCCCTTTATTTATTTATTTTTTAATTTACTATAGGGTGTGTGTGCTCACCAGAGACACAAACACGCACACATGAGAGAGATAGAGAGAGAGAATCCTGCAAGGGGATAGCCATGTAACAACCCCTTCTCCTCCGTTCTCCTCTCGAGATTTTGGGCATGCATTTATATGCACTTGGTATGTTTCTCAGGCCATTGGGTCTGGGACTCAAAATGCAGAGTTGGCCGTGTGGGATGCAGCTACCTTCACCAACATACCACCTCCTGGACCATTGTAAGAGTATATATTGTGTTGTTTCAAAAGTCGTGATGCATTTTTACATAGAAAAATACATGACTTTTCTGACTTGGAGGAAAAAACATGACTTTCTCTGTGCTTCGAGAAATTCCTATTAATATATGTAAATTATTCTATAAATGTTTCCAGATAAAATCTTTTATAAGACATGGTCTTTTCATTAATAGGACTTCGAAATCATCAATGGCTTAACAAAACAGAGCATCCACAGAAATCCAGACAATTACATACTGTGATTGCAGAATATGGCTCAAGACTTTATAATTACCAGGTAAAGTACTGTTAAGTCATTTTGTATTATTAAAAGAAAAATAAATTAATTTAATAGAGTGTTTTTAATTTTTAGTTTAACAGTATGTTACTCACTTAAAATATAATATGCTTCAAGGTGAATCCAGTTTGAAATATGTTATCTTTGTTTTGTGTGAGAATATCTGATGGAAATAATATTGGAAATGGAGTAAGTGGTTTTATGGCTAAGAGGCTCTAAAAATTTCTCTCTGACCTTTATATGCTGCCTAAGAAAAGCTCAAACAGGGAAAATGGCAAATAAACCTTCATTGTTAACTTTGTCCTAAAGCTAGCTCGAACTGAAAAGGTAGATTGAAGTCAGTCATTGAATATCCTCTTTCTGGTTCACTCACCCCCAGGTCTGCCACCCCCACTGCCCCAGAATTACAGACTGAGCTTTATCTAGTGTATGCTTGGACTGGGCAGATTAGAGAAAGGAGGGTGGAATCGTTGTGAGTCCAAACTATCACTGTCTCGTGTGTACATACACGCAATTCATCTTGCTTCTCTGGAGACCTCTGACTAATACACTCATACATTTCTCTGACAGGTTCTAACAGGTCCTAAATATCGGATGGCCCCTCTGCCCACAATATTCTGCCCCATACCTTAGTGGGCATGCTTCCTTTCTGACATTCCATCCCAGTTCTTTCTCTCTGGGAAAAGCTTCTGGAACCAGTCAGACTTCCTATGAGTATGTCCAGACAGAGGTACCTCCTAGTGTTACCTCTGTTTTTTCTTAGTTGTTCACCAATCTCTTTACCCACTCTTTTTCTGCTTTCTACCTCTCCTGCAAAAAAATGTAATAAGGTGGAAGCTTGTCCTGAGCCTAAAACAGTTGCCAGGTGCGTGGAGACTCAGTAATACCTACATGATTAAGGAGGGAATGATCTGAGAATGCCTTCGATCCCATTTTCATAAAGTGTCTTTCCCTTCCACCTCCCAATTTTAGACTGATCCAGCTGTGCTTTCCTTTTAAAAAGTCCAAGGCCATGCTTCCAAGGATAATATGCATGAAGCTGAGGTTTAGTTATGACCACTTTGTTTGGGCCAGTGATTCCTTCATTTTCACACAGACAAGTGCTCCATCAGAAACCACTTGAGACTGAGATAACTTAATTCTGCGTGAGCTTTTATTTTATTTTATTTTATTTTTTTGGAGAGGTTTTCGCTATAGGTCACGTGTGCTCGCCAGAGAGAGACATAGAGACAGAAAGCGAGAAATCACCCCCCAGGGGGGATGGTCACGCCGCAATCCCTTCTCCTCCATTCTCCTCTCGGGATCTTGGGCACGCACGCACACGCTCCCGGCGTGAGTTTTAAGCCACCAGGTCCGGGACACGAACCGCAGTCGACTACATGGGAGTCCAGCGACATAGTCATTACGCTAACTGCTGGTTCCCTTCTCATACTCTCAACCTTCTCCCACCCACTTCCCACACTGTCTCCAGTATCCGTAACCATTTTCCATGCTTCTTTATCCTCTAATCTTTCAGTTTCTGCCATAGAGTGCAGAGTGTCAGTAAATACTAAGTGGAGACATACAATGTCTCTTTTTCATAGCCTGTCTCACTTCACTCAACAGTAAATCTTTCATATTTGTGCACTTTCTATCAAATGCCAGGGTGTTGTTTTTTTATGGCTGAGTAGTGTTCCGTAAAGTATATATGCCACAATTTTTCAGTCCATTCATCTGTTCGTGGACATTTGGGTTGGTTCCACGTCTTAGCTATTGTGAATAATACTACAATAAACATAGATGTGCAAGCACTTTTCTGACTAAGCATTCTCCTATCCTTTGGGTAGATACCCAAAAGTGGAATTGCTGGATCATATGGTAGTTCTATTTCTAGATCTTTGAGGGACCTCCATATGTTCTTCACAGTGGATAGACCAATTTACATTGATCCCAGAAGTGTAGGAGAGTTCCCCTTTCACCACTTCCACACCAGCACTTATCTTTTTAAATTTTTGCCATTCTGATGGTGTGTGGGGTTTTTTGTTTTTATTTGTTTGTTTGTTTGTTTTCCTATAGGGTGTGTGTGCTTGCTGGAGAGATAGAGTGACAGAAAATGAGAAATCACCTCCTCATGGAGGATGACCAAACCACAATTCCTCCTTCCTCATTCTCCTCTTAGGATCTGGAGCATGCATGCACATGTGCTCGGCATGAGTTTTAAGCCATCAGTTTCAGGACTTGGTGGGAGTCCAGCGATGTAACCATTTTACCATCTGCAGGTCTTGTATCCTGCTACTTTACTCTATTGATTTATTACCAGAATTTTTTCATGGATACGTTTGGGTCTTCAATGAATACAATCATGACATGTGCAAATAGAGATAAATTCACCTCTTCTTTCTTTATTTGATCACCTCCAGCACTACACTGAAAAGAGGTGGAGAAAGTGGGCAGGCTTGTCTTGTACCAATTTTTAGTGGGAAAGTTTTCAGTTTTTCCCCATTCAGTATTATGTTAGCTATGTTTTTTTTTTTTTTTGAGAGTTTTGGCTCTAAAAAGTATTTTATCAAATACTATTTCTACATCAATTGATATGATCACTTTTTATCATTTTTTAAATCTTTCTTTCTGTTAATATGTTATAATACATTTATGGTTTTGCATATGTTGAATGATCCTTGCATCCCTGGAATAGAGCCCACCTGGTTGTGATGTATAATCTTTTTTATATGTTGTTGGATACAATTTGCTAGTATGTCGTTGAGAATTTTTGCATTTAAATTCATCAGAGATATTGGTCTGTAGGTTTTCTTTTTTGTCACGTCCTTATCTGTTGTGGGGATGATTTCATTATTGATTTCTTCAGTAGTTGTGAAGTCATTCATGAGTGGGTTGTTTGTTTAGTTTTCATATGTTTGGGGGTTTTTTTGTTTTTTATTTTTGTTTCTTTTTTGAACAGGCTTTTGCCATAGGGCGCGTGCAATCACCAAAAAGTCAGAGAGAGACAGAGAGACAGGAAGCAAGAAATCACCCCCAGGGGGAATGGCCACGCCGCAATCCCTTCTCCTCTGTTCTCCTCTCGGGATCTTGGGTATGCACGCACACGCACCTGGTGTGAGTTTAAGTCACGGGTCTGGGACTCGAACCGTGATCGACTACATGGGAGTCCAGCGACATAGTCATTACACTAACTGCTGGTCCCAAGTTTCCATATATTTGTATATTTTTGAGTTTTTTCTGAAATTAATATCAAGTTTAATTCCATCATGGTTGGAGAAGATGCTGGATACTTTTGAGGGAGGTCTTGATCTCCTGTATCACTATCTTCATCTCTAGGTGTGCTGACGGATTTTTTTAATGATGTCTATCTTCTCTTTCAAATCCTGGAAGATTTCCTCCTCTCTGAATATTCTGAACTTTATTGCTGGTATTCATGCAAATTCCTTTGTCATCCATGGTTGAAGAAGAGTTGCTCTCTTCCACTGAGGAAGAGCTATTTCCTTATTTTCCCATACTTTTTTGTGCCTCCATGCTGGTTTCTAGTCATCTGATGGATTATACACTACTTCGTGCTTCTCTGGTGTCAAATCTATAGCGTCAGGGGGGAAAAGAGCTCTAATTCTCAGATGTGTTCTTGGTAGACGGCCTTGCCCCATGCGATTCAGAAAACTATAAAATCTCGAAATGCTCTTGGGTGGGCAGGAGGCAACTAGAGGTCTGAGGCCATATTCCTGCCTCAATTGTGCTCACTGGCTGCCACTCCATGGTCCACAGAAGCACAGGTTTTAGGGATAATGGCAGAAAACAGATGTACTTGGGATGGGTTGGGAGGAAGGAAGAAGCCTGGAGTGGTCTCCTGCCTCAGTTGCTCTCACTTGCTGCCCCTCTGCACTGGTGCATAGCACCACAGGCTCCAGGAATAACAGCCAATCTTTTATATTTCTGTTATCTCTGTTGTAATATTGTCTTTTTCATTGCTGATTTAATTTATCTGGTTCCTTTCTCTGTTCCTCTGGTTTAGTCTAGCTAATGTGTCGATTTTGTTAATCTCCTCAAAGAAAAAGCTTTCGGTTTTATTTATTTTCTGTATACTTCTTTCATTCTCTATTTCATTTATTTCTGCTCACATTTTAATTTCTTTTCTCCTGGTATTTTTGGGAGTTTTTTGTTGTGATTGTTCCAGTTCCATGAGGTGTGTTGTCAGGTTGTCTATTTGCCACCTTTCCATTTTTTTCTTGTGAGCACTAATTGCTATGAACTTTCCTGTTATGACTGCTTTTGATGTGTTGCACCGGTTATGAAAATTCTTGTGCTCATTATCTTTGGTTTCAGTGAATCTTTTGATTTTAGTCTTAATTTCATTTTTAAGAGAGAGCTTTTTTTTTTGAGAGGTTTTTTGTGTTTTTTTTTTTTTTTTTTTTTTTTTTTTTTTCTTAGGGGGGGTGAGGGTGCGTGCACTCGCCAGACAGACAGAGAGACAGAGAGATAGAAAGCGAGAAATCACCCCTCAGGGGGGATGGCCACGCCACAATCCCTTCTCCTCCATTCTCCTCTCAGGATCTTGGGCACGCACGCACATGCGCCCGGCTTGAGTTTAAGCCACTGGGTCTGGGACTCCAACTGCAGTCAACTACATGGGAGTCCAGTGACATAGCCATTATGCTAACTGCTGGTCCCATGAGAGAGAGATTTTTGCTGTAGCGTGCATGTGCTCGCCAGAGAGACAGAAAGCGAGAAATTACCCATCGGGGAATGGCTACACCACAATACCTTCTCCTCCTTTCTCCTCTCAAGATTTTGGGCATGCACACACACATGTCCAGTGTAAATTTTAAGCCACTGGGTCCAGGATTCAAACTGTGGTTAACTACATGGAAGTCCAACAATGTAACCATTATGCCATCTGCTGGTCTCCAGTTGTAATTTCTCTAGTAGTTGTGAAGTCATTCAGGAGTGGGTTGTTTAGTTTTTGTGTGTTCGTGTATTTAGGGGGTTCTTTTGTAGTTTAGTTCAAGTTTAATTCTATTGTGGGCAAGGAAGATGCTGGATATAGTTTCTTTGCCTTTGAATTTATGAAGGCTTGTTCTGTGCCCTATTATATGTTTTATCTTTGGAAATGTTTCATGTGGGGGTGAAAAAGTGTGTATTTTGTGGTTGTTGGGCGAAACGTTCTATAGATGTCCATCAAATTCATTCACTTCATGGTATCATTTAGGTCCTGTGTCTCTTTGCTGTCTAGATGATACGTACAGAGTCGTCAGTGGGGTGCTGAGATCCCCAAGGATTCGTGTGTTGCAGTCTATCACTCCCTTTAGACTTGGCAGTCTTTCTTGTATGTATTTGAGTACTTCAGTGTGGGTGCACAGATGTTTATAAGTGGTACAGCTTCTTGGTGAATTAGCTCTTAGTACTATCTGGTGTCCTTCTTTGTCTCTTCTTACAATTTTTGTCTTAAAGTCTATTTTGTCTGATACCAGTATTGCAACTCCAGCCTTTTTTTTTATTTCAATCTGCATAGAATATCTTTTTTCAGCCCTTCACTTTCAGCCTATGTATTTCTTTATCAGTGAGGTGTGTTTCTTGCAAGCAGCATATAGCAGGCTCCTGTATTTTTTTATCTTATCAGCCAGTCTATCTTCTAGGTGGAGAATTCAATCGATTAACGTTCAACATTAAACACTTGTGGTGTATCTCTGTCATTTTGTAAGCCATTTCCTTGGTTATTTTGTGTTCTCCTATTTCTGTTTGTCTGTCTTTAGTTTTCCTGATATAGTGCTCCTTTTAGTACTTCTTGAAGAGCTGTTATAGTGTTGGTAAATTCTTTCAGGTTTTGTTTATATGAGAATGATATTATGTTTTCTTCCCATTTGAAGGATGATCTTGCCAGGAATAGTATTCCTGGCTGAAATTGTTTTTATTTTAGTGTTTTGAAAATGTCTACCCATCCCTTCCATGCTTACATTGTTTTAGTCTAGAGGTCTGATGTGAACCTACTAGGATAACCTTGGTAAGAAATTTGACATTTCTTTCTTGCTATTTTTAGAATCTAGTATTGGTCTTTGATTTTTACCAATCTGGCTATGATGTGCTAGGGAGATCTTATGTTGATTCTATTTGACATCTGTTGTATTTCTTGTGTCTACATGTCTGAATGTTCTCTAGGTTTGGAAAGTTTTCTGCAAGTATTTTATGGAATAGATTTTCTATGACCTTATCAGATTCTTTGCCTTCTGGAATACCAATTATTTGGATATTTGGGCATTTGATGATATCTAGTAATTTCCATACATTGTCATTATTATTATTATTATTATTATTATTATTAATTGTTTCTGGTGGCTTTGTCTAAGTCACAGGCTATGTCTTCTAGAGCAGAGATCCTGTCTTATGCATGGTCTAATCTGCTATCAATAATTTCAAGGGAGGTTTTGATTTATTACGTTACAGTATTCATCTCTAGAAGTTCTGTTTTTTGTTTGTTTGCTTGCTTGGTTTTTTGTTAGTTTGTTTTTAGTGTGTATCTCTTTATGGAGTTCTTCTTTCAAGTCATGAAATTATTTTTTTCATGTCTTGGAGTTGGTTGTCTGTTTCTCTTGCATCTGATTGAGTTCAGTTATAATAAATAGTCTGAATTCTTTTCTGACATTTTGATAACTTGCTCTGTTGTTTTTGTTTGTTTGTTTGTTTTGTTTTGTTTTGTTTTTCATAGTTGAAGCTGAGTTCTTTTGTTCCCTTGGGTGGAGGGGAGGGGAAGGGAGCATTTCCTGGTCTTCGCATATTTCTTGAGGCTCTGCTGTGATTTTTAGTTATTTTGTGCTGTAGTCACTTCTTGCTACTTTTTTGGAGGAGACTTTTGTAGCTGTGTACACTTGTGCTTCCCTTTGATCTGAATTAGCTATGTGCCATTTTCCCTCTTCTATTGTGGCAGTGTGGTATCCACAGTGGGAATTTTGGATTCAGATTTGCAGAGATGAGTTTCTCTCCTCTTTTGCTGTTGTGGGTGTAAAAAGAACTCCTCCAAAACCTCAGCGTGTTATATGTTGACTTCTATATACCTAGACCTATTGTGTCGCTATGTGTCAAGGGACCTGAGACGTAAGATTGTAAAGGATGTATCTAAAATCACACTCACACAGGACCCTCTTCCCTCAACCCATTAGGCAAAGGGATCGGGTGAAGAGCTTCCTCTATTTGGGTCTGCTTTCTCTCTGTCCCTTGCTGTTGGACTTTTTTTGGCAAACGCACACACAGACACACACACATACCTGGTATGTTAGTCAGGCCTCCAAGGCTGGAGATGAACCATAATCAACCATGCAAGATCTGGCTCCCTTACTAACTAGGCTATAGGACCAGCCAGGATACTGCTTTTCAAAAGTTAGATAGGACTTCCCATCTCCTCCCACGAAAAGAAAAATGACTATGCACTTGCCAAAGAGAGAGAGAGGGAAAGTGAAAAAGCACCCCCCCCAATGGGGGAGGCCCCTCCTTACTCATTAGACAAGCCTAAGGGGCTCAGCAGGGCCCTCGGAAGGCACCATCTACTTTCTGGGCTTCTCCAGCTCAGCCATCTCCTGTTCTCTCCCTCTTCTCCCTCTTCCCTCTCTGCCTCCTTCTCACCATTCCTCGTCCATCTCAGTCTTTAGCACTTTCACGGTTTTGAGAAATAGGCAATAGCTGACCTCCTAGAGCTCCTGCTGGGTGTCAGTCACTATTAAATAGATGTGAGTGTCGCCTCTCCTCCTGCAAATATGATCACCGTACAGGTAAGGCTGAGACAGAGGCAGGCACCTTAGAGGACCTCGGGAGCCACCGAGTGCATATAAAGGCTCAACCACATTTCTACTTTCCAAGAAAGAAAAATAATGTTATATGAATATGCAGGATTCAGGATGATTTCTCGCTCCTTTTCTTTTCCAGGCCAGGCTTCGAATGCCTAAAGAGCAGCTGGAACTTTTAAAGTGAGTGAGTTTTTCTGATCTGTGCTACCTTCTGGTGTGGCTCCCAACACTGAAATGTTTTTGAAGATTATAAAACTCCTGAAACCATTTCCTGCCTTTCTTCTTCATGCGAGTCAAGAGCGCTTTTTGGTGGCCTTTTCTTCTTGTCTACCATACGAAGGCAGACCTGTTTAAAAACGATGTAGCAATATATGCATGAGTGAGGAGGGCAGGTTCTCGTGGCTTGTTTCTTCTTCCAATTAAGTAAAAGTAAGCATACTAAACATACCATTTTAATATTAAAATGGCACAGATGGCTTGATCCACTCCTGACCTTTAACCCTTCCTCCTTCCCGTCCATCTGCTTATGTGCATAGAGCACTGCTGGGAGTGAAGTCACAAATCATTAATTATGACTATTTCTGGGAGTGAAATTGTGGATAACATTTCTTTCTTTTATTTTTTTAAAGAATGATGTATCCAATTTTATTCATTATTTTTATTATGACTTTTAATTTGCTAGTGGGCACACATGTGAGAGAGAGAGAGAAGGAGGAGGAAAGTGAGAAAGCAAGCTGCCAGGTCTAGGACTCGAACTGTGGTCAGCCATGTGGGAGTTCAGCACCCTAAGCACCATGCCATATGCTGGCCCCTTTCTTTTATTTTTCAATAGCCAGAGAGCCTGTGTACTCTCCAGAGAGAGATAGAGAGATGGAAGGAGAAATCACCCCTCCGCCGTGGGGCATGAGCATGCTGAAATTCTCCTCCATCTCTCCATCCTGTTGGGATTTGGGGAATATACACACACATATGCAACCACCATAGTTTACAAGCTGCCAGGGCTGGGATTGGAACCACAGTCATCCATGTGGGATCTAGCTACCTTAACTACTAGGCTATAAGTTCAGCCCAACTTCTCTTTTTTATACTTTTTTTATAGTAAGTATTTACTTTTAAAATAATAGCATTTTTATTGCTTTAGGAAACTACTTGCTGTTTTATCTACCATGGCTTAGTCCTTAAGGAAATATACACTAGAATATGCTTTTAATATTATTTGTGATGATAAAAATTGAAAAACAACCTAGATGAGAAAAATAGGTGAATGGTTAAATACATTACAGTGTATCCATATAGTAGAGAATTATAATACCACTAAAGTAATTCTAAAATATATTTAATAATTTGGGAAGTGTAGTGAGATGCAAAATTATAAATACAGTCTCTATTGTTACCGATATTTTTGCATGGGATAAAGACTGTAAAAAACAAAATTTAACAGTGTCTATTTCTTTGAAATGTTCACATTTTGCCACTTTTAAACATGAATTATTTGCCGGCTGGGCCGCCCGCGCTTTTGTCCCGCCGGCTGCCAGCCTCCCGCGGCGCAGCCACTGCCATGTCACATTTGAAGACAGGCACTGAGGATGAAGAATCAACTGAAAAGTATGAAAATACTGGAAATGCAGAGTCTAAGTGGCCAAAAGTGGAAGGTCTTCACAAGGGTCATATGCAGGAATCTAAGACTGGTGAAACCTGTGCTTGGGATAGCAACGTAAAGCATCAGCTCGAAAAGCCTGAGGGAAAAAGAATGAAGGAGGACCAAAGTGGCATCAGGGAAAAGGTGGGCAAAGCCAGGAACATAGAAGGTATAAAGACAGAACAAGTTGATGAGACATCTGAGAAAAGCTTGCTTCTGAGCCCTGAGCATGCTCTACATCAGACCATCCCTGCAGAACAGAAAAGCAGTGGCCAAGGCAAGTGCTTGGGGGAACATGAATGGAAACGCACAGTGCAATCCACAGCAGAAAACCAGGGCTGGTAAGAAAGCACATAAATGTGATGAGTGTGGGAAATCCTTCAAATATAATTCCCATCTTGTTCAGCATAAAAT